ATTTAAGACAAATGAACTTCGAAGCAACAAACAACTAACGAGATTTATAGACTCATATTTATAGTATCACCCACATATCTATGATTGATGGGCCCTAGACGTTGTTTTCTTGGTAAACAATAATGGCTGAGAAAACATTTTTATTATTTATGGGATTAATAACAATTGTTATAATTGCTTAAGTTACCTATCCAGCTGGCCGAGTGGAGAATGAACTTAAAGCGATTTTAAAATAGTCTCTACTATTCCAGCCATGAATGAAATTAAACTCAACTTGAAGGAAAAAACTTTTCAAAGTTTTCAGCAAGTTTTTTTTTATTACAACACAATTTTTAATGAGGCACTCTTATATTGAATTTCAATGGGCGTGCTTTTCAAGTATTGGTGTCAACGTATTTTAAAGTTGTTAAGGCCTAATTAAACTATAAAATGGGCCATAAAATGAGAACCGAACTTGCCTAACTAACTGAGAAGAGACTTGTAATATCCGTGCGATGACGTTCCGTGCAAACGTACGCAGTTATCCATGAATCCATGAATCCATCGGACTCATGCACATCCCTAAGATCGACTTGAGTTGCTCATGGCAGATACTGCGAAATTATCGAGGAAAAAACACATATTTAAGCGCTGAAAAATTTGCCAACAACATAAATAACATTTTATTGGCAATTTAATGGAAAAATTAATGTGAATACAGTTTGCAACATTGGTAATTTATGCAAATAAAACGATCGTAAATTTGGCATTAAAACGATTATTAAATGATCGTTTATTAGTCTGAAAAGAAGATGGGACAGCACAGACTCATAAAATGTATCTGTAAGTATGCATCAGCATATGTAAAAGTGTGGTGTACACTTGTAAAAATTTACAAATAAGAAAAAATCGTAAAAAATTAATAAAATCCTGAAAAAAATCTCTTCAGTGATTTAAGTTGAGTAAAATTTATGAAGGTTTTATTCGTTTTGTCTTTGTATATAAATTAAATGATTAACTGCGGATATTCTTATAACTGACCAAATCGCAAATTTATAACTGTTATTTAACATTCTCCATATAGTTGTATAATTGTATAATATGTTTTAAAAATTCGAAAGTATTACAGGGGCAGTTATAAACATCCATTTCATTTTTTTTTGTTTTTTTTTTTCATAATAAAAAAAAAATCTTCAAAAATCCTTAAAGTTTCAAATTTGCTTGCATAATAATTTCTTTAAAATATTTTATTGTGTGCAAATTTACAGATAAAATCAAAAATTCATATTGTTTAAGAGCATAAACAAGGCATCGCCATTACCGCTATTACAGTGATATCATTAGGGCTCTCGTCGTCATCATAAAATCAACATTGACGATTTTCTTAGAAAGATTTTAACTCCGCTGTTGCATTTGAAATGTTTGCTCGCCGCAGGTTCGATTCGTTAAGGCCGAAATAAGAAACGACAATGTTTCTGTCAGAAATAACATTTTTAAAAAATCCAAACAACATCCTTAAAAGCGATATGAAACAAAAGAAAAAACCTTAAAGTTTAATCAAAACAGCAGGATTATAAATTAATTCCGCATTAACGTACAACAAATACAAACAACAACACCAGTATCTCGTTCTGTATCCGTATCTATATCTGTGTATATATCTGCGTTGTTTAGTTGTGGAAGGGCATCAAATATTTTTTATCAGCACATAACGATCACTGCAATTTAGTTTGTTCTGAAATTTGTAAGTTTCTTGTTTTTAGTGAGATACGATGATTTTTTTGTAGTAAATCGATACGATTAAACTCCAACACTAATGCCAACCAAGTTCAACTTCAGCTCCAACTCTTCAGTCAGTTCAGTGACTATCTATCAGTTGAGTTTTGTCGTGAATTTTTGTTGCATCTCAGCTGTCAACTTTGTTGTCACCGATCGCTGATCATACTGATCATACTGATCCTTCCTGTCATATACGCGAAGTGGCGGCGAAACTCCGTTTTAAGTTTTGTGGCACTGAAGCTGAGTTTTGTTTGATTTATGCTTGAACTCGTGTATAAAATATTTTAATACGAACACATTAGCAAAGTACCTGGCACCTATTTATAATGGTTTTTTCGTATATGAATAAATTAAATTTTAAAGAAGCCAGACTAGGAAGGAGCGTTGTTTTTGTTACTTAGTTTCCTAATTATTTTATTCGTAGAATTGTGTTCAAAGTTTTACAATGGACATACAGAGATCATCAAGCAATTTAGAAAATATCTTTAAAGGAACTGTAAAGTGAATTCTTCAATAATTTATAATTCAAACAATATCTTTTAAATTTGTTAAAAGCAAAACTAAATACTTCGATATTTGAACACTGCCTTTTAATTTTCAAAAATGACATTAATTAAAAGATTAATTAAAAGATTAAACGATAAATTAAAAGAATTAAAAGATTAATTTTTTGTACCTTACCTTATCAAAACTTTTTGATTAGGATATATATTGATATTGTTGAAATGATTTTAACATTAAAAACATCTGTTATTAGCCATAAATAATCTTGATGTTGTATATATAGAAGCATACTTAATGAAAAGAGTCTGAAGCTCGTAACTAAGTATGAGAAGGAAGTAACCGCCAAACAAATCAAATAAGTAAACTTGTTTAATTACCTGCAGGGAATAGTTAATCATTGCCTGAAAACAGCACTACAACTCTCAACTGAATAAGTACCTTTTGTTAACTACTTAGTCTTACTAGAAATAAACTTCAAATAGAAGTAAACATATCAGTCAAGCTTTCTTAGGTACCACAATGGGCCATCATTTGAGCTCAAGTGTGCTTTTTGAAAACAAGCTTTCATGGGTATAATTAAAGTCTGTCCAAGAAGTTGACAATTTGATAACCGTTGAATGTGTTAAGTCGCCAAGAAAGCTTTCTACAGAAGTCATAATTCTGTAGACACTTCCAATCGAAATTTCTTTAGTGATGAGATCCATTTTTCGCTTGTGTTTACATCAACAAACAAAATTCTGTGAAAATATCTGAGATAATAAAAATCCATAAGAAACTGTCGAAATGTCACTTTATCCATAAAAATTTAATGTATGGTGTAACATTTGAGTAAGAGATGTTCTTGCTTTTGTGAAAATGACCAGATCTTTGAGATTAAAGAGCTGGATGCAAAGATTTATAATTTTACCAAATTTGCAAGAAAAATTTTATTGTGACGTGTTAGACCACCAAGATCAAACGGTTTGCCTTTTTTGACAGTATCAAGCAAAGGATCGTGTTATTACTTTCAGTTTTTAAATTATATATGCTTTTAAAGTAAGAATCGGTCAAGTTATAGCCGAGCTATTGCTATATAATTGCCGAAAAGTCATCGAAAAATATCTTAAAAAAATTCACTACTATAAGATATGCTTTGGATTACATTTGAATAATGTTATATTTACACCTAAGGACGAGATCAAGGCATAAATTAAAATTAAAAGTTGATCAAAATTTCAATCATAAATAAAACACACTTTAGGATAATTTTTATAACCACAAAATGGAAAACCCCGAAGAAATGGGAATAGCCGTTTAAATGTACCAGATGGCAACTGAAAAAAGTATCGGGCCGGCATGAAAAAAGAAGCCCGACACAAGTTATCGATGTGAAACTCATGTGACAAATGGTAGACCAAATAATATGAGAAAGAATGAAAAATAAGAAAATAAGGAAGCAGTTAAGCCAAATATCAAGTTTTCATTGAAACAATCTAAGGATGGAATATATATAAGATACACCTTAGCCTAACTGGAGCTGGACAAAAAGCAAAAACATAAATCGACCCTCCATAATTTAAAAAATATAGATATTTGAAAAATAAATAACAAAAACAGCAAATTGGCTGAAAGATATTAGGTTGAATGCCTAACGTGATTTTAAGGAAGAGCAGATAGGCATGATAGGACGAATCAATTTATCACTATCTGGCAACCCCGACTCTCACCTTCTAGATTATAAGAATATGTTAGAGGACCTGCTTGTGTGAGTATATACACTAATCAAAATAGTTACCAGAAGAGTGCTTCATCATTACCATTTAGTATTACCTTTAGTATAATCCATTTAGTATTTATATCTCTCTACATTTACATTTTCAAATTTGTTTATTATATTTCACTTTAAAACTAATACAAATATTGATGAACAAGTAAGTAAATGAAATTTAATTGTTTTGTGACACAAAATATTGCAACTTAGACAAACATGAAGCTAAGTTTTTCTTGTCGATATCTTAGTTCCCTAATTATCGCGAAATTACTAAAAGTTTCCACATTCCTAAATTCTTAATATACTTAAACTGTAGACATTGAGAGTCTAAGCTTCACCTTATAAAATATATAAATCATTCAAAATAAAAATATAGCAATTTTTAAATGATTAATTAGTTGCTAATAACTGGAACGGTAGTAGATGCGAAGTAAGGTACACATATTTTGTAATACACGAAAAAGGATGAACTCTTAAATACATAAGACACATGAAATTCGTTATCCAGGAAATTCGTTAAAATAAAATGAAATCAAGTGACCCTTTAAAGTCGAATCACTTGGCCTGTATTTCATATTACTAAGGCGTATCTTTTTTGTCTGCTCTCATGCTCATATTTCTACCTTCATTTCAGTTAAAATTTTCAGTAAAACAAATTTAAAAGCTATAATATTTTAAACCCTAAATTAATCTTCCAACAGGTTCATCAATTATGGCAAAAATATTTTGCCAATCTTTTGATATTTTAGTCCTCACATAAAGACTGAAAAAAACTTGCTAACCAAAAGCAGATAATAAATTCATACAGTTTCTGAAATATTTTTAAAAGCATATAATTTGATCTCAAATTAGACTACGTGTTGCTATTTTCGAAGGCATGATATATATTCATCACAAAGTAGGCGTTGACCAATAAAATTAATATACCCTTACGTATGTTCCGGATATATTGAATTAAACATTTTTTTATTTATCAAGTCTGGGTAACATTTTGTTTTTCCGGACAAGTAGGAGCTAAAGTTTGTTGAATATTTTTCATAAGAGATAACAATTTCGTAACTAATTCGATCAGCTCTTCAAGTTGAGGACATAATTTCGGTACCACATCCATAAATGTTGGTCCTTTAGCCATCAAATCATCAAATAGTTTGGCAAAACCAAGTATTGATCCTTTGGTTTCATTAAACTGAAACTAGAAATATTATATGCTTTGAATAGTACATTTTAATATTTAAAATAATACTTTACTTACTGTCAAACAGAGAAGAAAAACTGTCAACAGCATATAATGTTTGGTTTTAAAAGAAAACATTTTGCAAATGACTTGAATAGTCTTGAAGTTTAAATATTTATAAATATTAAATGTATACAAGTTAATATTTTACATTTTTAAATTTCCTCAAACACGTTTAGTAGATAAGAAAACAATAAAAACTAATAAATTCAAATAAAAGATATGTAAACACTAATAGCCAACTGTTTATATTTTGTTAAGCTTAACAAAGTCAAACAATAAAGAATACTTTTTCATTCTTTTATTATATTTTGATCAATTTACCCTACATAGGTTAGTACTTAGTTTAAACTATTTTTAAATTTGTTAACTCATTTGCAATCGATAATTTACTATTACATATTATACATTGAAACAGATTTTACCCACACAAGCAAGCTTTCATAGCACACAATACGACATTGTTCTAGTTGTACATAGTTTTTGCATTTGCATTGTTGCTTGCTATTCCGTTGTACGCCTCAACTCAATCGACTTTCAACTGAATTCAAATTTAAATAATATATAATACAGGGAAATAAAAAACAATAAGTATGATATATTTCCAAAAAAAGTACGTGTAGCTGAAAAATTTTTAAAAAGCACTTCTTTCTAAGCATAAAGATTTTAATGATCTCAAGTAACGAGTTAGATAATTAAGCGTTATGGCATCATTGTAAAGTTCCAACAACAGAAATCATGTATTAAAAATGCATCCCCTTTCCCAAAAACTACTGTAAGCAACTTATTACTTTAAATAAATAATATAATGTTTTGTAATGAATTTATTTAATTTAATTATTTTATGTATTTATAGCATATTTTCTACTAGTTTGTATTATAAGAAGAAAGTATAGCTAAGAATAAACCATTGAAAGGAGAATATTCTAGTCAATTATATCGTACTGATTAGTAGAACTTAAATGACTCACTTCAATTAACCTAAAAAGAACTATAAGTTTTTGTACGTAATCTATAAACCGTGTCTATTCCATATAGCTATATCTTATATACATTATTATTACATTTTATATTTTATAATACATTTTACTTATAGTATTAATAATAGTACTTCAATATATTCAAATGTGAACTCTGTAAAATTATGGGTTCCCTGATCCTTAGAGTATTTAAATGTATCTTCTCCAAAAGAAACAGTTCCCAGCCTCATTATAGTGTTCACTAAAAAATACCTTCAATAAAATATAAAAAAATCAAGCAATAAATTAAGATATAACTTATTTACTTAATTAGTGCAACTCATTAACTTTTTTATTTACACATATATTAAAAATATTATATAAACACGAAAGATATTCTTCGAAATTGGCTTCATCAGCTCAACATTTACTAATTTTATGCCTCGGAACTGTTTAAGTGCGAACTCCACTTACGCCACATACCAAATCGATGTCCACAGGTACAATAGAAGGGAATCCAAATATGATGTGACTAAAAAGGAATAAAAGAGAAACTTAAACAACATGATTTACAAAAGAGATGATAATAAATTTCAACAATTTATAACAGGCAATTCATAAATTTATTAATGAATTAAGTTATAAGTTAATTTCAAAAGGAATAAGAAGTAGTGGAGTACGCTCTGTTGCATGAGAGGGTATGAGGCAGCAACCACAGACAAACTGGCAGATACAAACAAAGATTCTAAAGGAGAGTACACCTAGCAGCGCTACGAGTAGAACGCAATCCCGAAATCAGCACAAATAATGATCAGTGCTGATCGGAGCAATATATCAAGCAGTGCGAGCGAATGCTGCGTTGCACGAAAATATGGCATATAATGTTGCAAGCTTAAATTCTAAGAATTGCAAAGCGAATAAAAATAACCAAACAAAGAACGATTTTTTCTTGTTATTATTATTTTTTTTTTTTTATAATCAAATTTTGTCTGAACTACTAACAAAATGTAAAAGTTTAAGATAACAACCAACAATCAGACTTAAACTGTAATAATCTGCCAAAGCTTAAAACGTTCCTTTACTTTTACGTTTGTGGCAGTATAATAACTTTCACGGCCTGAAAGAACAACAACAACAACTGCAACAATATACTAAATAAGAAAAGAATAAGCAGCAACTGTACGGCATGATTAGCACGCCAAACTAAGATCATCATCGTCACTATCGCCATCGCCATCGCCATCACCATCAACATCAACACGATCAGCTTAGCTCATCTTTGAGTTTTGGATTGCTGTTGTTGGTTGCTGACTGTTGGCTGGTATTGATGTTGTTGCTGTTGTTGTTGTTGTTGCTGCTGTTGTATTTGTTATAGTTTTGTAGATTTTACTTATTGCTTATTGCTGCTTGCTTGTTAGTCTGCGATTGCTGGTTACTGCTATTGCTTGTTGCATATAAATCGGAATTTAAAATTAATTAAGTTGTCGTTTTGCGCTTTTATCCAATTTATAACTAATATGACACCGATTATACGAAATATGTTCACTAATTAACGAACAAACACCATTTCGAACGCGTCTCTCTTTTCCACCACCTGCCTCCAACCGCACCACAGAGTCACCTTTTCCTCAGTCAAATGTACTAAAATCTTATCTGCCCGCTGTCTGCTTCCACAAGCATCTTTATCTGCTATGCTGTGTGCTTGGCTTGAATGGATCCAGGTCTGGGTGTTAAGAAGGTTGGTAATCTGCTCTTGGAAATGCGTTGTAAATTGTCTGACAAAGCTTATTTTATTAATATAAACCATAAAATGTTGAGTGGACTTTGGTATTTTGCATTTAAATATGCGATTCACACACTGCAAGTGGCACACACTCGCTCACATATGCGCATATTTATGGTTGTCTATAGAGACATTTGAGGATAATAAGGTGTGCAAAACACGCTGTTAGCAGTAAATACCACAAAAAGTTAATAAAATTTATATGAAATACTTAAAGCAAATGAAAAACAAAAAAAAACCCAACTAAAAACATCGAGATAACATGTTTAAACGATTCAAGTTAAGATAAGTGTAACGAATCAATTCCGCTTTGGTTTGGAAATTAAGGTGAGACGTGGTATGACATTGATTTTGCATGCATGAGATGAATTCAGGCAGAGAACAGAAGAGCAACAGTGGAAATTGGAAAGGTATAAATCGGAATTATATGGTAATTAAGCTTTCTTTTAAACACTTACTGAGATTTCAATCATAGTCCGTTTATAGAAAGTGCTACTGTTGTCACTTTGGCTGCGATTTGATGGAAGACCTTCTCTCAAACATGCTGTCACATAATTTATTTTTCGTCTTAATAAATTATCACATTAAAAAATGATTAGTTTAAGTATTAACTCGATATTAATTAAAACTAAAAAATTGTAAATACTAATTAGCACTGTTGTTTGATAATTGATATTTAAAAATTTTTAACATGATTTTGTCTTTTTCTTTAAATAATCTACTGTTGTATTTAAAGCAACACAATATAACACTGAACTAAGTTTTTACATATTTATATACATATTTATAAATGCAGCTACTATAATAGCAGCTACTATTTTTACATAGACTGAGCTGAGTTCACAGAACATCACTACAATTTCAACAAATAGATCTGTTCGAGGTAACAAAGTGTCGCCTCTGTCTAGTGAAAAACGAAACGTCCATTCACATTCTCTAAAACCGTCCATATCTGCTTTGGAACAGCACCAAAATTGCAGGGTAAAAGAGGCTACACAATATTAAATAATTCCTGTTTGGTTAGGATCAGATATTGGCCCAAAAGATTTTCTTTGGTAACCGTACTCTGGTCAAATAAGAGCCCACATTACTTTTTAACAGTCTTCTATAATTTTCAAATGAAACTACATTAAAAATTGAATTTACAACAGATATCTTACAAACCGAAATGTACTTAATAATAATTTTATATAAATCTTTAGTGAAATATAATTTTCATTTAATAAATGGTTTCATTTTATATTTAAAATAGTTTCAATAAGATATTAATGCAGTAATACCTATAATATACGTGGCTATATAATGAATGTATACTTTTTGTTTTATTTTTAATTATGTTTAATTATGTTCATTATGTTTAAGTATGAAGTAGCTCTATACTTGAGAAGAAAATCGAAACCGAAACATAAATATATATATTCGGATAACAAGACAGTACTCACATCACTGAACTTAGTTGTATTGACAACAAAGATTGCTCAGGATTACCTGGTAATTCTTAATTATATCAGCACCACTTTCAAAAAAACCAAAAGATGCGATCAACAAACCAGAAGAGGTACTAATACCTCAATGTGTGAAGACGAAATCTGAATCGGAATACCTGTTGCTACTTGTAAAACAATGTTATTTGAATGATCAATTCAAACAAAGAGAGTTGTCTGACGCCTAATGTATCAGAAATTAATGTATCAGAAATTTGATAGGAAAACATTAAGGAGGTTAACATACTAACAACAGAACACGTATCTAAGGTCATGTCTTACATAACCAGTTACTGGGTATTTGGAAGTAACCTTCTTTTGCACCTGACATACTCTAACCAGAAGAAAAACAATATTCTTAGCAATTGTCTTTCATTACCAAGTTACTGAAGCACCACATATGAGACTCTTTACTATATTCGATACAAGATCAGCTGATTCTTTCAATTGCTATCATATGAATTATTAGTTTTTAGACCTCACCAAGAAACAATTCAAAAAGTGCTTTCAGACATCTATCATTTTACTGTGTTACCAAATATGCAGTTATTTAACTACTGAACTATGCCTGAAGCCTTTATTACTTTAAAGTTATACTAAAATTTATTTCTAAGGTATTTTAATAATGATTTTTACTTATATATTTAAATAAATTAATGTAAGATATGTTTAAAAGTAAACAGAACTTTTCAAACCAGGTACTTGTACTTAGGCTATCTCTTGGCAATTCCTTACCTCAGTATAGTGAACCACTTCCCGTATTCATATGATTTAAAAAAAAATACTTTGGCCAATGAAAGGAACACTCTTTTAGATATAGCAGCCATTCAGAAGATTTGTTTAAACCTCCGGAA